CCCCCAGAACCACTGGTCCTTGACAACATAACATGAAGTATTAAGTTTTTAGGGCATTGTCATGAGATTCTGGAATAACTAATTAGCGTTGGGTTTTGTTGGGCCAACTGAAAACGCAACAAATATACGCTCTTCCTAAATCGCGACAGGTATAATATCATGCCAACCTGTGAAATATCTTTCGCCTGTATCTTACCTTCAAATACTATTTCTCATCGAGCCGGAATTGCCACTCCTTCCGACAGAATTACTTTATTGACACCTTTCAACTGAGATTGCACAAGTACCGCATTGGTTTTGCTCCCTTCGTTGGGAGAAACAACACATGATTTGGCCTCTGTAATCATAACTCTGTTCAATTGCACCTTCATTGCTGGATGCTCCGCATGTATTGGGATTTTCCCATAGGTCCCCACTAACTGATAACGACTTCGCCCTCCCAAGAAATCCCCTTGAACACTTAAATTATGCTGCGTAATAAAGTCCCATCCCAAAACACAATCATATGGTATATTACTACTAACAAGAAAAGAACTATGATAGTTATGTTTAGAACGTGAAAAGGTCATGCTCGTAGATACGATTCCTGCAATATTTAAGTCCCCTCCAGTAATTGAGGTACAACGCTGTGACTGCGACTTATCTAATCGACCGCAGTCAAAATCTAAGATGTTATGAACTTTATCGCTAATAAAAGACTTCATTGATCCAGTATGTAACAAAGCATTGACAGGTACGCCGTCAATGAGACAGGCAACAAATGGATGTTCTGGCAAACTTTCATTAAAATCATTAGTAGAATTATTGATAAAGTCACAGTTCTTACTTGTTTTGGGGCTGTCTACTGGCCTGTGGTTCCTCGAGACGGCCCTTGGAAGTTTAAAGGCGCATAGTTCCCACATTCACGGGCGAAGTGTCTGTATCTCCCGCATTCGTAGCATTGCACTTTGGAACAGTCTTGGCGTTGGCTTGAACTGCGACACTCTCGAGCATGTGGCCTTGTTTTCCACATCGAAAACACATAACTTTTGGTCGTGGAGGTTCGTTTTCCTTGATTGCTGTGGCATATAACTGCTGGGAAGTGGCCCCTTCGTCTTCGAGCGCTTGATAACGTTGGACAAAACTTAGCATCTTGCTTAAGGTTGGTGTGGGGTTGTGAGCCAAAAGTTTTCCTCGTATAGAGCTTGGCAGACCATGCATGAATTGGCGGGACAAAAGAGCAGATTTGGCTTCCACAGCGAGGTCGGGCTCGGCTTTTTGTAGAAGTTGTTCCAACCCCCACTTGTAAACTGATGGATCTTCACCAGTGCAAAGCATTTGGGTTTCAAATTTTTCAAATAGTTTTCCCTCTCAACTGGCGGACACAGGGCTTGCTCTAGCTTTTTTGTTGCGGCATCGCATGGAGCTCTTTCAGCGACAGGGGTTGCATAGAAATGTGTAGCTGTGCTTCCTCGTAGAAACGCTGGCAATTTCTTAATTTTGTCCTTGTCTTTCCAACCATTGGCTAAAGCGCACGCATCAAACTCTCTTAGCCATGCGACAATATCGTCTCCATCGAATTTGGATGGGAGAATGCTCGAAGCCATTTTCGTTGACATCGTCTTTTTTTATTATTTTACCGCTGCCACCAGTTGTAACGTAGCGAGGCACCGTAAATAACACACTCAGTTTTAACAGTTTATTTTATAACTTCTTACATGTGCAACCTCTCTCAGGGTGCCTGTTTTACATTACTTTATTTACAGTATCATGTTACACTATATCCAAATTTGTTTGGAAATCAACCAAGTTACTAAGTTAGTACATAAGTGCAAAATATCCATTGCTGGGGACCTAGGGTAGATCCCCAAGTAAATTTCTGAAGTTTTGGAGACCTTGGATCCACAAGAATTTCTGCATTTTCAGATGGGTACTCTTGGGTAAATAACATCTAAATTCACTATAGTTTCTCACTATTCTTTCATTCAGTGGTGCTGCCAAAGACAGAATACAGCTCTAGTGGGGTTGAGGGGGGCATGCTCCCCAAGAAAAGTTTGAAATTAAGTCCCTGAATGCAATTTCCAGCATTTTGGGGGAAAAAACCTACATATTACACTGTAGCATAACCAACATATAAAGGATACTAAACCCATTTTATATTTTCCTGCATGCCAAGTAATGGTTAGAGCATGGTCACGTGTGCTCTATGCGATATAGAGTCCCAAGATCCATTCATTGGCATGAAATAGGTAATTGGACAAGTACTACTGTAAGACATTGTGTAGCCTAAATAATGAGGACCAGTAGTCCAAATTTGTTATCCTTTATTTACAACGACTCCTATGATGAACATGTACGCAAAAAAACAGGGAAACTACGACTAGATAGAAACTGAAATACATGAAATTTTTGTGTGACACAATGAAAGGTGAGGATATATAAGAGCGAGAGATTGAATTTGAATAGGAAAGGCAAACCTGTACACGTTTCGACCTAACAGTCTTCTTCAGCAGGTTTTTTTTAAGAGGAGGTGTAGATAGAGTTTGCAGAGTAGAACTAAAATGCAAGAGAGTTTAGGAGTACGGAACATGTGAAACCTGAGAAAAACAAATTATTATGAAGTTATTATGAACAATTAATTACACAGTACAAAAATGAAGGTTGAAAGAAAGTGACAAAGGATGAAATTACTGAATATGTTATTAGTAAAATTATTCTACCAAAGGTCTTGTTGTTGCGGGACATTCGAACATTACGTACTGTATTGTTCATCTTTTATTTTATTTGTGGAGAGAAACAATTTGTTAGTCCTTTAGGGTAAAACTTACTCAATGGTATAGTGAGTTTGAATGCTTATGATGGAAGGGGTGGAGTACGATTTATTCAGTGGCGTGATCATGTGACTGTAGGTGATTGCATCCAAATATGATGCCAGTGGCTTGATTGACAGGGGACAGGAAATTGGTTATCCTTTATTTACTCCGACTCCTATGATGAACATGTACGCAAAAAAACAGGGAAACCACGACTAGATAGAAACTGAAATGCGTGAAATTTTTATGTGACACGATAAAAGGCAGGATATATAAGAGTGAGAGATTGAATTTGAATAGGAAAGGCAACGCTGTATGCGTTTCAACCTAACAGTCTTCTTCAGCAGGGTTTTTTTAAGGAGGGTGTCGATAGAGTTTGCGGCATAGAACTAAAATGCAGGACAGTTTGAGAATACGGTACAATGGCTATATCGTATTATTCATTTACCATCTTTGTTTTGGTTTTGTTATATATATGTACATATTTCAGTTAATGTTTAATCATATATTTACACTGACCTGAAAGGTCAAGTGTCTTGAATCCCTAGTTTTCTGTTTTCTTCTGGGTTTTTTCGTCGTCGAGAAATCGAGTTTGCGTTCACGCATTGCAGGCTCAGGGTGCAACCATTAATCCAAAATGCCATTGATTCTTCGACTCCACGATTCATTATATAATAGTAAGAAGCTTGTATTTATGTATGTAATAGCCGGCTCATGCCATGCTTGTGGTGCATTTTTTGTTTATTAGCCCATATATACACTTATACGCACACACACAATTCCGAACTCCAGTGGTGACATATTCAGTCCAGTTTCAAAATGGCGCCTTTTGGCTGAGTGATCAGAATATATTTCACACAGTTTCGTTGAATTTTCAAAGAGTTGTGCCGGTTTCCTACGGATTTTACGTTGTGTTGCACTCTGAACTTTCTTGCGTGTTGAATTAATATGTTTTTCTTCGTGTAACAACTCAAAAACCCCAAAATTTGGACCCAGCGAATTTTACAAAGGACAAGTTAAAGGTTTGACAGTTTGACTTAACTAATAAACAACTGTCTATAAATATACGTTGTAGAGTCATAAACATCCGTGGTATAGTTGTGTTCATTTCGGTTGTCGCACTCTGGACTTTTCTGTGTGTTGAATTAATGTTTTTATTTTTGTATTAAACGACTCTAAAATTTGGCTTCCAAAATTAGGCCGACCCGGCGGATTTATACAATCAATATGTTGTATTAAACGACTCGAAACCCCCAAAATTTGGACCCGACGCGAATTTGTACAATATAGTGGAATATAAGCAAGGGCAAGTTAAAGGTTCTACAGTTTATTTTGATTTATTGTATGGTTCTCATTTGCCTAATACAATAACATTTATTTCACAATACAATATAAACAAGGACAAGTTAAAGGTTTGACCATATTAACTGAAATACATGTATTGAAATTCGCGCAATAGCTACTAGAATTCGCGCAAGTAAAGATAAAGCGAGCGTTCAAAATACCAAAAAGAACTAATACATTTATTGTATGCTTCTCATTTGCCTAATAGAATAACATTTAGTTATAAATATAATATAAACAAAATATAAACAAGGAAAAGTTAAAGGTTTGACAGTTTCACTACAAAATGTCAACAATATACCTTAATACATGTATTAAAATTCGTGCAGTAGCTACTAGAGTTCGAGTAAGTAGTAAAGATAAAGCTTGCATTCAAAATACCAAGACATTTATTGCATGGTTCTCATTTGCCTAATACAATAACATTTAGTTCACAATATAATATAAACAAGGAATAGTCGATTTGGCTATACTGTTTGCTCGTTTTGAATGTATATTGATCGATTTCAATAATCGATTTACATATCAGTCTGCTCGATTCGAGTGAGTGTTGCCCGATTTGTATCATTGGTGATTTGGTGTTCGACTTATAACTATTGGACCTATTGAATTTTGACAGTAAAAACGCGCCATACATAATACATGTATTAAAATTCGCGTAGTAGCTACTAGAATTGGCTCAAGTAAAAATAAAGCGGTGCGTTCAGTAAAATGCCAACAATACAATAACATTTCCTAATACAATAACATTTAGTTCACAATATAATATAAACAAGGAAAAGTTAAAGGTTTGGCGTTTGACTACACAATGTCGGCACTATACCTTAATACATGTATTAAAATTCGCGCAGTACGTAGCTACTAGAATCCCGGCGGACCTATTGAATTTTGACAGTAAAAACGCGCCATATAATACATGTATTAAAATTCGCGCAGTAGCTACTAGAATTAGCGCAAGTAAAGATAAAGCGTGCGTTCAGTGAAATACCAACAAGAATTAAGAAATTATTGTATGGTTCTTATTTTCCTAATACAACTCAACTCATAGTTATTATGTGCTCATTTGTTATCATGTGCTCATTAATTCTTATATCAATATTCGAACATGATCACGGAATACTGCGTAGCGCAAAATCTCCATTCTTCAAAAACGTATCGTTCAAGGCAACTGAAAGGTGAAGAAGACAATGATATATTGAATCTGACTGCTTCGCTACTCAGAAATGATCCACGATCATGATTTGATAATGTTGAATATGGTCACGTGATTTTTGGTGTGAACTTGAGATACTATCTGTAGATATTATTACTAAGTATCTGATATTAAACTAAATCTGATTAAAGCAGAAGAGATGTTACCTATGTCTCATCTTATATTTTTATTTTTTTCCTATGAAGGTTTGTTACTTGTGCAAAAGCGCAACTTTAGGTTTCAAACAGTTTCTGCCTTCTGTTTTTGTTGCCAAATTATTGATTTTCTTTGGATAAATCTACCATATCTAGCGCTGAAACTGTTCTATACGAACTCTTTTGCTCCCCATTCCCTTGTCTATTACACCATAGCCAATCTCGTTCCCAGAGCCTGCGATCCTCGGAAAGGAAACGACGGCTCTGGGATAATCCGTTGCCGAAAGCCAGGAATTCTGGCTAAGACTGAACTGCACATTTCATATCAACGGCCAATCAGATTCCTCCCTGAAACGGATTATCCCAGAGCCTTCGTTTCCTTCCCAAGGACAGCAGGCTCAGGGAACGAGATTGCACCATAGCGCATGTCATCATTTTCAGGTCAGTGTGAACGCCTTGTCTTGTTAAGACTATAGTCATGACTATTAAGACTATGGTGAAGACTATCAAGTCTGTAATCATGACTATTAAGAGATAGCCATGACTATTAAGACTATGATGATGACTATTAAGTCTATAGTCATGACTATTAAGGCTATGGTAAAGATTCTCGAGTCTATAGTCATGACTATTAAGTCTATAGTCGTGACTATTAAGACTATGGTGATGACTATTAATTTAAGACTATAGTCATGATTAATAAGACTATAGTCATGACTATTAAGACTATGGTGATAACTATTAAGACTATTGTCATGACTATTAAGACTATGGTGATGACTATTAAGACTATAATCATGACTATTAAGACTATTGTCATGACTATTAAGACTATAGTCATGACTATTAAGACTATAGTCATGACTATCAAAACTATAGTCATGACTATTAAGACTTTAGTATAAACCTACTAGTAGGCTATCATGTATCGTGCGTTCTGATTGGCTACGCTACTAGTAGGCTATTAGTGATAGCCTACTAGTAGCAACAAGCGACGAAGGGCGCGAGAGTCAATGACCGTTTTTAAGAATTAAAAGCTGCATTTAAAGGGGAAAAGCTTATCAAAATGACCCAATTTTTGTTCTGGATTACACGCAAACAAA